CTTTTGTTTAAAACTGTATAGTTACTGTTATGGTTTAGACATATGTCCCCCAAGCTCTCTGTGTTGGGAGTTTGGTCCCCAGTGCAGTGTTCAGAGCTTTCTATAAGGTAAACGGAGTTCAAGGTCAGCCTGGAGTATACAGCAAGACCCTGTCTCATAGAAAAAGAAAAACCAAAACAAAAACAAAAACTTCCCTGTAAGGCATGCAGGGTCTCCACCACCCCACCCTGTGTGCCACTGTGGGCCCTGGAGGCTAGGGAGAAGCAGCAAAGAAGCTGCCTCCGTCCCTGCATTCCCCCATACCCGTGAGCAACGGGACTGACCCAGGATGAGATGATAACTGAAGCAGGGAAGCAACCTGATGTTTGTGTTGTTTGACTGTGCAAGCCTAGGGCCGGTACTCTGAGCAACTGTTTAGAGGATAACAGTATGCAATATAGTAATGATAGTGAATTTCCTAATGTTCTATCACTGTTGTTTCATTTTGCTGTTCTGTTTTTATTCCCTTTAAAATAAATAAATATTATCATTTGTAATGGCCAAAAAAAAACTTCCTTGCAAAGGGATCCTTAGGGCTCTAACTTCATTAGTGGACTTACCTACAGCTGTGCACATAACTTGGTAGCATTCTTTATGATAAACTGATAGAAATTTCGAAGATCAGGCCTAAATGAAGTTATTAATAGGAATGAAAACTTGTGGACTATATCCTGTCCCTGGTCACTTCCTCTCTGACTTTTATTTTATTGTTCGTTTTTTCAGACAGGGTCTACATATATAGCTCATGTTGATCCTAAACTCACCATGTAGTACAGGCTGGCCTCAAACTCACGGCATTCCTCCTGTCTCAGGAGTCCTGGGAATACAGGCATACACCACCACACCCGGTTCCTCCGAGGCTTTGTTGAGGCGGGAGGGGAGAGGTGTTAGGGTCTCCCTATGTAGTGCAGGCTGGCTCTGAACTTGTATCAACCTTCCTGCCTCAACCTCCCAAGTGCTGGGTTACAGCATGTGCCACCATGCCAGGCCTCCTCTCCAGCTCTTAACCCTGCTTCCCAGCAAGGAGAAGTGAGTAGATTTGCTCTCACACCCTTCCATCGCTAATCTCATCACAGGCCCAGAAACAATGGAACCAATGAACTCTACGCTGCAGTCCCAAAACTGAGCCAAAAGAAAGCTTTTTTCCTCTTTTAAATTGTCATTGTCAGGTATGCATCTTGTCAAAGTGACAAAGCTGACTAACACAATCATCTAAACGAAATAAGTATCTTGACACAGGAAGGGGTCTATATTAGAGATAAGCAATCTGTATTTTCAGAACAACTGTTAATGTACTATGCCTGCTGCAACCATATATCAAATCCTTTTTCATTTTCCCCGTCTAAAGCAGAAGCTTGTAACTCACATTTGTTCTGTTTTTCAGTTTTGTTTTGTTTTTTGAGACAGTATCTTGCTAAAGGCCCAAATTGCCCAGGCCTGAACTTGCAATCCTCCTGCCTCATTCTCCCAGCCCCAGGACTACAGGTGTGCACCACTATTCCAAGCTAATTTAGAATTATTTAACTAGAAGATGACAACACAAAGACTTACTCTGGGTTATATTCAAGAACAAGTTAGAGAGGAAGTACACCAATTTTCAGCCATTCTAATAATGGATAAAATTAGACCCAAAGGGTGGAAGACATACTGTGATCATGAGAAAGTAGGACGGTCCCTTCAGGAAAAGGATAGCTGCCTCTCTCACAAGGGTTCTAGGAGACACTGGATTAATACAGGCTCACAATAGTCCTTAGAAAAAAATAGCCCGAACCAGGAAGCAGAAATGGGACGGAGAGAAAAAGGTATCAAAACCTGGGGGTAGAAAAGGTGAGAGAAGGAAATGTGAAAGGACAATTGTCTCTTACAAGCTTTGAAAACTGATATTCTCCCTTTGTTTCTGTTCTTCTCTTGTATTTATTAAACTGTAAATACTGTTTCTCTAGTGTGGGATTTCTTCTGAGGGCCGGGGATTTAGCTCAGTGGCATAAGCACTTGCCTGGCAAGTATAAGGTCGTGAGTTCGATCCCTGGTACCAAAAAAAAAAGTAAATTGAGCCAGACTGGATTTCTTCCAACATATTTTTCTTCATATTTCTTGTTTTTTTTTTTTTTACATATTTCTTTGAAAATAAATTATTTGTACCATTATACACCATGACAAAGCTTTCCAATGTTAATATAAACCAAATGATGAGAATCTATTCCAAAATAGGGTAACTCCAAATCAAATGGTTCAGAAAATGCACATATCCACACACAATTCATACACATACGTACTTTGCATGCAGTGGAATGTTCTCAGATTTAAAAAAAACTGTCTAATTGAACAAAAAATTCCTGCTTCCTGTAAAAATATTAAATAGGATTGCAGTGCTGGGGATATAGTTCAGAGGCACAGCGCCTGCCTGGCAAGTGCAAGGTTGTGAGTTCAATTCCTGGTACCAAAAAAAAAATAAAATAAAAAGTAACAATAAATAAATCAATAAATAACACTGCAATGCAGGGTAAAACTACAACATCCTTCCCAATTATGCACAAAATTTAACACCTTAAAAGAACAAAACAATGCCGAGGAAGCATGAGGTCCTGAGTTGGATTTCCAGTACCCCGCACACACAAAAAACCAACAAAACAAAAAACACAAAACAGCCAGGTGTGGTGGAGCAGGCCTTTAACCCCAGCACTCCCTAAGGTAAGAGAATGGCTGAGTTGAAGATGAGCCTGGGCTACATACAGAGTTTAATACCAGCCTGAACTACACAGTGAGACGGTCATAAAAAAAAAAAAAAAAAAAGGTTTGCTTCCTTATTTTCAAAAATACCCATGATCTAGCATACAATAAACAAAATTCATTTCTGTCATTAATGGTTTAATATTTAAATGCCCAGTCTTTTCATGGGTAGAGTACCTTAATGAAAACCAAGGAAATTAAAACAACCTAGAGTCAAGAGGGTCATAATTTAAAGCCCAGCCTGTACAAAGGACCCTGTTTCAAAATAAAAAATAAAAAGGGTTGGGAACGTAGTTCAGCACAAAGGCTCTGGGTTCAATCCCAGCACTAGGGATAGAAGAAGAAGGTAAGCAAGTCTAAAACCATGCGTAGCTCTAAAAAAGGGTAAGTCTAAACCAGTGGCAGTAAAACTATTCTGCAACAAGCTGAACAGCTGAAAACTCTGAAAAGTTCCCCATCACTGTTCTATATTCTCTTGACTTCCTACTACAAAAATTGGAAGCCAAAAAAAGGTGTGTTCAGAACGTTATATTAGGAATCAGAAGACTTCATAAATAATTTCACTCCTACAATCAATACAGTCAACATTAGCTAAATCTTCCAGGCACCTAGAGATGATGGCCCTGGCCTTTAATCCCAGCTACTCAGGAAACAGGCTAAGGTAGGAGATTCTAAAGCAAGCTTGGCACAAGCTTGGGCAATTCAGAGATGCTGTCTAAACACAAAATAGGGTCTGGGGGCCATAGCTCAGGGGCAAAGCAACTGCCTATCAAGCAAAAAACCCCTGGATTCAATCCCCAGTACTGAAAGAGAGAGAAAACAAAAAAGGAGGGAAATCATCTTTATAGTGGAATATGCTAGTGATAATCTAAATCAGGGGAGTGTAAAACTACTTTTTCCTTTAAATCATTTTCGATTTGGTGAATGCAATTCCAGTTTTAAGCCTGAGGATTTTCACTTTGTTCCATTCCTGCCTCCGAAACTAGGTTAAGATCCTTATCCTGACTACTCCTTCCTATGCTGCATTATTCTGACTTAAGCAGTTCTGCTTTTACCATAAAACCTTACAATGTAGCATAAAAATCCCCAAATGATTAATGAACTGCTGAGAACTCTGACCTGTTCAAGATGATTTTATTAAGAATCATATTTCCAAACATCTACTTCTGCTTCAAAACAAGTACTCTTCTAAGTTAATTAGGATGACTTCATCAGACACTGCCTACAACGATGTTTACAAAAGCACTTATCACTCCCTTCGGATGTAGCAATGCAGAAAACAGAGTCTGTTTCCATACTCTTCCTGTGTTTATACTCTGTAACAAGTGACAGAGTTTAAGTGTCACTTAAGATTATTTAAACATCAAAGCACTTGAAGTTTATGTGTCTCACCCTCTGCACAGCAGTTTAAATGTGTATTCCCCCTATAAAGGAATCCTGGATTCACTTAGTTTCATTCAGGCAGCAATTCCCACTTGGTACCTCACACAGGTTTCAAAGTCAGCCTCTTCAAGACAGCAGGACTCTAGGAAGAGGCTATAGATTTCTATTTTGGCCACTCTAAGATTACAGGCTCTAATGTTAAGCAACCTCAGTTGAGCTTCTTACAACACCAGTCCAGGGCGGAAATAAATGAGCCCCCCAAACGCGAGTCTGCAGACAGGAATTGCAACAACTGACAAGATGCTGCAGCAGGGCTCTTTCTAAGAGCTACCTTTATTGAGCACTTACTACTAGGCTATGCTTATATTCACAACTCTATGAAGTATGTATTATTATTTCCACTAAACGCATCAGCCTATTTCGGTCCTGGGCTTATCTGTGACGGCACTGGGCTTCTGAAACACTTCCCAAAACCAAGAGCCAAGGATCTCCGCCCCTCAAATACAGTTCTGCGCAAAACAGCCACCTAAGGGTCGGAACCTCCCGGAGGTGTCGCAGAGACTGAAAGAGAGGACAACGCCTCCCCACACCGGCGCCCGCCGGCAGCCGCCCGAAAGCCTCCCCGGAGGCCTGGGCACAGCTCACCTTGGAGAGCCCCAGGCGGGCCGCAACCCGGCAAGCGTCCTCGGCGCGGGCAGGAAGAGCTGCGCTCGCGCGGCAGCCGCCCGCGCCCAGGGCTGCGGTGGGCAGGGCCGCCCGCCGGGCCGCGCGGGGGCACCTCCGCTGGCGCCGCAATCCTGGCGCCCCTCCAGCCGCGCCGCATCCGGGTCCCGCGCCGCCGCACTCACCTGCCCGGCGCTCCGGCGCTGCCGCCACCGCCACCGCCGCGGGTTCCTGCTCCGGGTACGCACTCAGCAGTCCAGGCTGCCACGACGGCCCCGCTCGGGAGCCCCCATCCCCGCTTCTCTCAGTCACCTCCCGCCTGTCCCACACGGCACTACACCCGCCCGACACCCACTGCCATGGCCCGCTCCGCCCCAGCCGCCGCACCGACCGACGGAGCACGCGCGCGCCCCCCCCGCCGTGCCCGCGCGTGCGCGCGCGCTGCCTCCGGACCAGGCCTCCCAGCAACCCCGCCCAGCCAGCGAGGCGCGCCGGCCAATCCCGGGCCCGCGCCGGCCGAGGCGACCGGGGGGACTGCGGCACCGGGAATCCCCTTTCCTCCTCTTTCTCTTGCGGTCCGCTTTTGGGACAGTCTGCACCTGCTCAGGCCTGCGTGGTCTCCTCCCCAGACAGCCTGTTCCTAGGCTCCTCACCGGCCTTCTCTCCCGAGTCTTTTCCCGGGCGCCTCGCTCGTTCTGCGACTGGGAACTCACTCCGGCTCCGGACGCACCCTGCCCGCCTCTCGTGCTGGTGACTGTGCCTCTGGGCTGGGGGCTCGAGGCCACTCAGCGTCCTCACAGCCAGCCCCAGTCCCTCCACAGTGAGTGGTCTTTTAAATGGAAAAGTTCAACCTTCTAAGTCCAAAATTCTTTTTGCTGTGTGTGGAACAACAGCTAATATTTATCTACAAAACTACGTTTTACCTGACTCTTTTGCTTGCCTTATCTGTGTTGTCCTGGGCCACAATCCGGGAATTTCCCAGTCCTCTCTTTAATAAGACACTTGAAGTTTACTTGTTGAGAACCTAAAAGTCGAGCATATTGTAAAACTGATTTATAGTAGTTACTGCAACCTAATGCTACTGTAATAAGCTCAGGCAGCAAGTTAAGTGGTGTAAATATAATCTGAAAGTAGAATCTAATGTAAGGCAAAGGTGCACCCGGGCGTGGCTCTTCAGCCTTCCAAGTAGCTGGAATTGCAGGCGTGCACCATCGTGCCTGGTTAGAGGAAGTTTTTTCAGATAGTAGTAATATAATTTTAGAGAGACAAACTTTAAGCAAGACAGGAAGTCCAGAATCATCAAAGAAAAAAATCAAAACATTGGTCCACATAAACGTTTTGAAGTCAGGTATGCTAGTAAACAACTAATCCTAGGAGGGTGTGGCAGGAGGATCACCGAGTTCATGGCCAGCCTGGGCTACATAGACCTTGTCTCAACGCTCCCCATCCCAAAATAATAAATGTTTTGAAGGTTTTGTATGACTTCTTATTTAAGAAAAAAACAATACCTGGAACAGAACTGGACAAAACACACGACAAGCACATTGTATCTCTAACATAAAAAAGTTTTTCTGTAAATGGACTTCTTCAAAACCAGAGAAGTCTAGCATGGTGATACACACACATAATCCCAGCAATCTGGGGAACCACAGTAGCAGGATCCCAAATTTGAACCCAGCGTAGCAATTGGCAGTTTAGCAATTGACGGAGACTTAAGAATGTAGCTCACTGCAAAGGCCCTAAATTCAATCCCCAGAACAAAAATGAAAAAGCAAAAACAAGCAATAGGTACACCTGTAATCCTAGCATTCTCAAATCTGAGATGAGGATCCTGAGATTCAGACCAGCCTGGAAGATATAAAAAATACAGTACTGTCCTAAAGCAAACAAATAATTCATTCAAAAAATGCTCGTAAGCATGGCGGCTCACACCTGTTATCCCTGCACTCAGGAGGCTGCGACAAGAGGATCCTTGTGAGTTCAAGACCAGCCTGGGCTACAAAGTAAGCTCAAGACCAGCCTGAACTGCATAGTGAGACCTGTCTCAAAATGACAAAAAAGAGAAAATAAACGCTTTAATTTCACTAATAATCATGAAAAAAAAAATGAAAACCATTGATTTTTCACTTAACAGTTTGGCAAACGTTAACCAGAGGTACATAGTGAGTTCAAAACCAGCCTGAACTATAAAGTATTTCTCCGCCCACCCTAATCAATTAAAAATAAAAAAGGCTGGGGATGTAGCTCAATGCAAAAGCCCTGGATTCAATCCCTAGTACTATAAAGAAATACACTGAATGTTGAACAATAATAATCAGACACTTTGGGGGAAGGAGAGTTGAATTAGGGTTTCAATCCAGGGTAGTACTGAATTCTGCAATTTTTCTGCTTCAGTCTCCTAGGTGCTAGGATTATAGGCATGTGTGGTTTTAAAATTACGATTTAGATAATTTTAAATCAATTAGCACTCATGTATGGAATGAGCTAGATGAAAGATAGTAGCCTTGGTTCTGAAGGAGTTTGGGTGTGGCTCTGCTTCAGGAATGTGAGCTATTTATCAACAAGGGTGTTGCCCTGTTTGTTGCAGAGAATCCACCTAGACTATAATTTAACCTGTTTTTACATTTAAGGAATTATGAGGCAAGTAAATAAACATTTAACTACTCTACTTCTTTGAACATTTTTGAATCAAAGTTTCATGGCCCAGCTGGGCAAAGTGACACATACCGATAATCCTAGCAATCTGGGAGGCTGAGGCAGGAGTATAAGGTAGTTAGAAATATTATAGGCACTCAGACAGGGCTAGGCCTTTGAGGAAGCCGGCACAGAAGACCAAAAGTCTTGTGACCTTAGAGCAGACACACACACCTCTTGCTGTGGGCCAGATCTCAAAATAGAAGGCAAAACAAGTACCATCACACCCTTAAGTATAAACCTTAGGGAATAGGCATGGATCTCCTTGGGAAGCCAGGAGTCACCAACCCATTTTACCGGAAGGGTCACTGATCTGGAAGAATGCTCACTTGCTATGTGACTCTCCTCCCCATTTGTCCCTGATTTAGTCAATTCTATCTGAACAATTAATCTGGTTGGTTAATCATAGTTCTGTCCCACCTCACGCCCATCTGCCTTATGAGTTCCCAATTCTCCCCACCTTAGACCCTCTTCACCTCATGATTTTATTCTATAAAAATCCCTAGAAAATACAGAATCTTTGGCAACCCACTCAGGACCCTTTCTGTCTCTCTCGCAGACAGAAGCCTTCTTTCTCTCAATAAATATTTCTACTCTTATAACATCCATTGTTCCTAAAATTCATTCTTCGATTTTAGAGAACACGAACTTGTACCAGACATAGAGCAGGTCAGGAATTTCATTCCTCTATCAGGAGAACTGAAAATTCAAACCCAGCCTGGTTTGGGTTATTTAGCAAGACCTTGTCTTAAAAATAACATTTTATGGGGCTGGGGATTTAGCTCAGCAGCATAAGCACCTGCCTTGCAAGCAGGCAGTCATGAGTTCGATCCCCAGTACCGATAAAAAAAAAGGAAAAACACACACAAAAAAAATAACATTTTATTTTTTTTTAAGAATTTTTATTTTCATTAATACATATTTGTAATACATATACTCATCTTGGGAAGTTGGTAAATGTACATGAGTTTGGGCTGGGTATTTGGCTCAGTGGCATACATGTCTGCCTGGCAAGCATGAGGTCTGAGTTTGATCCCTGGTACAAAAAAAAAATGTACATGAGATATCTTAATTCTTTTTACTTGTTCTTCCCTTCTCATCCAAAGTAAAAATTTAAAACGGGACTAGAATGTAACTCAGTGCAAAAACTCTGATTTCAATGCTTTGTACCACAAAAATAAATAATAAAATTAAAACTAAAAGGGCCCCAGGTGCCAGGGACGTAGCTCAGTCGGAAATCCCTGGGTTCAATCCCCAATACCACCAATAAATTAATGAATGAAAAATAAAAATAAAATAAAATGGAGGTAGGATGCTAAGGCAGGAGGACTACAAGTTTTGTTTTTGTTTTTTTTTTGTCTCTTTCCTTTTTATCGGTACCGGGGATCGAACTCACTACTGCCTGCTTGCAAGGCAGGCGCTTATGCCGCTGAGCTAAATCCCCAGCCCCTAGGACTACAAGTTTAAAGCCAGCCTGGGCTACATGACAAGACTCAGTCTCAAAATACAAAAACAAACAAAACAAACAAACAAATAAATAAATAAATATAAAATAGAGGTAGATTATGCAATTTGGCTGTTCTTACCAGACTCTGATAATTAAATCAAGCAGAACTCACAGGCTATAGCAGTCATAAAATACCTATGCAAATAATTAGGGAAGCCTGCAGGTAGGTGATGGATCTGGAAAAACAAAAACCTGGGTTGCTCAATTCCAAGAAGTTGAGACACGAGGGAAATGTTCTAGTCCTGAATGCCCCAATTGGTCAAGGGGCAGATAAATGCTCCTCTTACAAGATCAAGATTTAGACATTTAGGTGCTGGATGTGGCTCGATAATAGCGTACTTACTTATCATGCACAAGTTCCCAGTTCCCAATATAAAAAAAAAGAAATTTATCCATTTAAACTGGTGGTGCATACCTGTTATCCCAGCTCTTTGGAGGCTGAGGCAGAAAAATGGTGGTGAGTTCAACATCAACCTATTCTATATAGTAAATTTGAGGCCAGCCTGAACCATATAGTAAGACCTTGTCTCAAAAAAAAAAAAAAAGAAAGAAAGAAAATTTACCCATTTGGAGATCAGGGATGCTCCATTTAGATGAACATTCAGAATGAAGTTAACAAGATTTTGTTAAATATTTCCTTCAAAGCTGCCAAGAGAAAACCAGGTTTGGAAGCACAAGCCTGTAATTCTAGCACTATGGGAAGCTGAGGTAGGAAGACTGCAAATTCAAATTTGGGCAATTTAGTGAGACCCTGTATGAGAAATAAAAATAAAAAAGGAGGGGCTGGGGATTTAGCTCAGTGGCATAAGAGCCTGCCTGGCAAGCATGAGATCATGAGTTCAATCCTCAGTACCAATAAATAAATAAATAAGGATTGTAGCTGGGCTGGAGGTACCTGCCTGTAATCCCCAGGGCTTGGGAGGCTGAGGAGGAACATCATTACAAATTTGAGACCAGCCTGGGATACAAAGTGAGTTCAAGGCCAGCCCAAACTGCATAAACTAGACTGTCTCAAAAAGATTAAAAAAACAAAAAGGATTATAAATAAGAAGGGGAGTAGGAGTTGAAGGGAGAGGAAGGAAATAGGAAAAAAAAAAAGAATCAGTTATATAGTTATATAGGTTA